CAAATACCTCTGTAATTTGAAGGGTCATCTTTGTTTCCAGATTTATGCAAGGCAGTGATTATTCCATTACTCCATAATGTAGGAAATGTTCCAGATTGTAGAATCAGATTAAAAAGTTTCTCAAGTGGATATTTTATAAAGCTTGAGCTTGTTTTAATCATTTCATTGCGTATTCCATCAAGTCCAGCGGCCTTCTTGTTTTTGAGTTTTTTTAATTGCTTTATCAATCTCTTCAATGGATATTGGGTTGTCTAATTCCGACCAAAGGTCAGTTGTTGACATAAAAAGACATAAATATATTTTAATATATTTAAAAAATCCAATTTGTTTTACAAACAAACACATTGCACGAGAGCGGTGCTCGACACTGCACGATCTAATCGACACAAAGGTCAAGCAAACTGATCTCGATCAACAAGCCCGTCATCTCCTCTGTCTCCTGGTGATCTTTGAGAACCTTGAAGCAACTTTGAAAACTGAAACGACTTTTAGCAATCTGAGCTGTTCTTAGAACTACTGTTATTGTCAGTAAGGCATGCAAGGAAGTGAAAATGGGAAATAGTTTACAATAATACGGGCGAGTTATAAGTAAATGAATAGTCGTTTTGCCGGGCCGAAAAAAAGTGGTCGTAATAACGAGGTGACCGGATTTTTTTCACCGAGGTGGCCGTAAGTCGGGGTTCCACTATAAGTACAAAACAAACAAGAATACCTGCTTTTATTATGACAGTCCAGAGAACAAATTGAAATTCTGCTTTTTTAAAATTACCCAACAGTAAACTTCCCGATTTACACGCTGGTGGACTTATTCAACTTAGTAAGGGAAGAGTTTCAAACAAGCTGCATTGAAGTGCTGATCAAAATAATTTTAAATTTAGTCCCTTTTTTAAGCTTCAAAACGTCGTAAAAAATCTAATTCATTTCATTACAAGCTAGAGGGGAGGAGGTGGGGAGGGGTTGTTGATAACCGGATGCATTTTTCCTTATACAGTGAAACCTGTATAACACCCTCGGGGAATGCTGTGGTGTCCGCTTAATTGCAGGGTGTCCGCCTAATACAGGTTTCGATATATAACGTCATATGAGGTGTCAAATGCCATTCAAATGAACAAAGGAAGCGTTTATAATACTCCCAGAGACTATGACGATAGACATTTGCATTAATTTCTTTATCAAAGTGAACAAATTGATCATAGTACCATAAACATGGATTGCAACTCAAATTTGAAGAAATCAGATGAGTGAAACAAGCTCTATACAGACAAAACGAATTAGAAAACAATCCTGTACTGTGAAACTAATCAAATAAGTTCGTCAAGTCACGTTTTTTAATGTAAAAATCGAAAAATTTGTGGGTGGCAATTCGAGGCAATCTTTCGTATTTCCGTTGTCTGGCGTGTTGAGTGGAGGAATTTAATTACAAGTGTCCGTTTAATACAGGTTGTCAACAATAGAAATGACCATTTCAGTACTTTTTAGGTGTCCGCGTCCGCTTAATAGAGGTTTCCGCTTAATAAAGGTTTCATTTAAAGTAAATAAGGGAAATAAATTTGGGGACTTGGGCTACTGTCCGCTTAATAGAGGGTGTCCGCTTAATACGGTGTCCGCTTAATACAGGTTTCACTGTATCAGTTAAAACTGATAGAAGGAACTATAACTAGGGAGCTTATAAGCGGAAGTTTAGGGTTAAGAATAACAATGACTGACTTGTAAATTTAAAATTGTCTTCTAACATGCTGTAACAAATTGAATCACATCGTCCTTAGTGCTCCATCCTGTCTGCAAGAATTTCGAGCTGCTCGTTTGAACATCCGTAAAGCCATTTATCCTCAAGACCTGCTTTCTTGCCGTAAAGAACTCGCCATCGAGTATTCCACATATCCGCGCCAACAAAGCCAAGCAAAAGAGAACGATCCGTTGTTGGATGTATGTCATCCCGCCCATGGCTTACGCGATGATTGTTGAAAATAGCCGCTGTACCTTCCTTGAGCAGAAACCTTGTCTGGTTTGCAGGATCATATAGCTTATGGTGAAGTAGGGTAAAAGCCTCGTAGAACTTCTTCATGGTCGAATGATCCTTGAAAGTGCCTAATTCCAAACCGGCGTGTTTGTTAGAGATGTAGACAGTAGGGTGTCGCTTCTCTAGACGATTAAAAGAAATAATTGGCCTTTCCAGGGTGTTGTCGTAGTGGTAGATATAAACCTTGTCTGGATCACACTTCTCTTGAACGGTCATTCTTCTTCTGGAGAAACGCACTGGGATGGTACAGAGAAGCTCATACGCTTCTGGCTCTTCACGGCGCAGCTGCTCAATGACTGCAAGATTATCCACCCAATAGTTGAACGTGTCTTGAACTGGCGCGGAATACTTACTGGCAACCAAGCACGATAACCTGTTAACAGCATCATAGTAAGCAGTGTCTATGTGTACAGGATGCTTTTCGGGAGCATAGATATCTTGGTCGATCTGCTCTGCCTTGGACTTATCCGCTGAAATCTCGAATGTGTCAGTAGGGTGGGTGCGTTGCTTTTGTTGACCCACGCAATGTATAATCCCTTCCAAGCCCTCTTGACTCGGGGGTACTCCCTCGAAAAAAGCCACTCCATACCTGACCAAGTCGGTCAGCCAGCTATCTAGCTTTTCCATCCTCTCGGAATAACTGTAGACGGGAAATTTGGAGTTTGCATCCCACAGGGTAATCTCGTGTTCCTTGCGAAGAGAGTCGTTGTTTTTCATGTCTTGAACGCGAAGCCACGAGGCATTAAAACTACTACGATGGTCTTCCCATGCAACGGTCACATCTTCGCTTCCTTCCCCGTTTTCAGCTTTAACAATTGGTGATTCGGTAGCTATGAAGCGAGCATAGTCGCTCTGGTTGTAAATCAAACTGTCCGTGAAATATTTTGGGTCCCGGACCGAGGCGCGAAGCCATATGTTGGGAAACGTACTCTTTGCACCATCTTGCCAGGTAATTTTCAGTAGATCTCTGCAGTGAGATAAGGCGGCTATTCGAAAAGGTGCGCGGAGAACAGCAGACATTTCAGTAGCTTTGTAAGTTATGTCGAGCAAATGCAAAGTCTGGGGCTCGCGTTCTGCTTTATTTGCATTCTGACAGTCATCACTAAGTCAATCATCAATGTCAGCAATCAAAATCAACGTTGTCCCCTGTGGAAAACCACTCCGCCGTGATTGGGTGAAAATAGCTTGCGTAGCTAGCTGGAGGGATTTATTAATAGCGTGGGAGTGCTGTATTGTTTTGGCGGCGGAGCCGCGAGAAGAGTAGCCTCCCCGCAGACGTCCTTTGGGGTTCGTTTGTCACGCATTCAACGAACCCCAAAGGACGTCTGCGGGGAGGCTACGAGAAGAGTGGGTATTCAAGTCAATTCCCGCAAGCCACAATTCTTGGGTAATTTGAATAGTCCGCAACCTGGCTTACGGGAGTTTCTAATTGGCTAAGAAGCGATAAAAGGCCAGTCAAATGATAATTGATATCTCTACTACCTCCGAAGGGAAAGTTAGTGCGTATAA